CTGGGCGAGGCATGTGCCTCGGGAACTGATGCCGCTGCGGCTTGGGCTGCCCTTAGCTTGGAATGGGTTATGCGTACTGTTGCACTCACTTTAGGGGGAGCAATCTGCAAGGGTTGAACAGACATTGCCCCAGACGGGTGAGGCTTCTCTACAGCAGGCACATATAAAAGCTTAAAGCGACAGAATATGATGGATTGTTCCTTCAGCCAGAAGGCAGACGAAGGAATAGGTCAGGCTGCGAGATAGGTTCTATTGCTGGGACGACCGGGGCACTGTTACAAAAATTGAAGAAGGAACTGAGATTGCGGTGCCAGAATAGCCTATTGTCGGGAGTACATGCGCCCTCTCTCCTGAGTGAAGGAAGCTCCATGAGTCCTAAGCCCTTCACAAGTAAAGTGGTGTAGTCGTGGGTAAATCGTTGAAAACTCCTGTGGAAATCAGCCTAAGGCAAGAGAGCATATACGACACCATGATCCATCCCGAATTGCATAAGGACCCCGTCCGGTCGGTAGACGACACTGGGCATGCCTTCTTCATTCCACATGGGCAGAAATCCAGGGCGAATCATGGTGGCAATAAGGAGAGAATTAGCCTGGATACTATTGAGAGAAAAATCAACATGGCGGGCCTCTGAAAAATAAAAAGGGACAACAGAAATGCCTGGAAGAGGCTGAGTGAAAGTACGGAAGACGCACTCTTCCATATGGTCAACATAGTCTGAAAAGGGCCTATTGGTACCAAGGCTAGACCACCGAGAGATGTGAAGGAATGACTGACGCACTTGTCTCATGACAGGCCGACCCTCTACATCTAGGACAGGGTGGCCCTCTGTATTAAAGACTTCATTAGTAAAGAAGGGCTCGTGTTCCTCAGGGTGGGGCCTATAGCAGGAAATCTCTTATAGAAAAAGGCAGTCAGGAACTGGGTATGCACAAAGCTCCACACGTCATAGCAGCCCATGGATCGCTCCATGTCCGAATGGATGAGGTTAAGACGAAAATATAAGTTACCCAAAAAAGAAGGGAGCTAGAGGAATTTGATTACCGCTGCAAAGCTTTACAGCTAAAGGAAATACCAGGGGATTGATGCTTTTGGCAGGGTTACTGGGTAAGACGAAGAATGAGATACAATAGCTGCTGAACGCCGCCAAGTACAAGTCACCTCAGTAGCCCGGACCAACTACGAAGTCCCGGCTCTCCTCAGTGATGTCCCCTACGGCTGGTTACAAGTCCTTAAAAAAATGCTTCAGCCAAGAAAAATAGGTAGTCTTATCTTTTTTGTGCCTCTCCTGGAGCAGTTCCCCAGTTCTAAGATCATACCAAGAACCAAACTTCCGCGCCTCCCGAAAGACAGTCTAAAGAGCAGTGACAGCGACTTGCTCTGCAAGGGTCAGAGACGCTGGGTCAAAGGGGAGATCTCCACGGGTGCTAAGGCGCAAGAGGACGACAACATCTTCCAGGGTCAGGGTTATCTCCCCCCATGCTAAGGCAAAAGTGTGGGTGTCACGACTCCAATGGAAGATAATCATATCAGTGTTGGTCTGCACCTTACGCACTAATAACTTTCTCGAAATTAAAATGGCATTGAAAAGGCGAACATCACGCAGACGCTGCTCGAAGTCGCCATTCGCCATGACATTATCGACCCAAAAGGACCAATCTGTTGGAGGGCCCGAATGAGTATGATAGTAGATGTAAGAATGTAGAAAGTCGCCACGCTCCACACAAAACCACAACACAGAAACTGGGTTCACTATGCCACGTCTTCCAAAGTAGCCTTCCCAAAAGGAAGCAAGGGCTCCTTTAGCGAAGGGGCGTCAGGAATAAAGGAATCAACCGCCTTCCAAAAGGGGCCAACCCTCCAAAGTAAGGGGCCCACCTTCACTCAGTAAGGGATAGGGCAGCTCTGTCAACAAGAAACCTTGTGCTGGCCATGAAAGAGAGTAAAGAAAGTCAAAAAAGCTTTGGAAAGAGGGGATAAAGGAGAGAAGAAGACAAAGGAGACAAAAAAGTGTGTTCGGAAGAAGTGGGGGACCAGTGGACCCAAGGGCATTATTTATAAAGAAAATCAGCAAAGGGTGCTAGCCCATTTCCCTAGGTCCATTATGACCTGGCAGTCAAAAGGGTACCTTTGCAGAGCCGACGTAACTTCTGACCCAACTGACACAACCCTTGGGTTGCCTGCTGACGTCATGCACGTGCGAAAGACAAGGAGTGTGTCTCCTACGCGCGTAGGGGGCAAAATGTAGAGGATTAGAAATTAAACCTCAAACTAAGTATGGACCCAAGCACCAAGATCACCCTGAGAAGGCGACCAGGGATAAAAAATGAGCATAGGCCAAAGCCCAAGGGAAGTGGGCCAATAAGTGGGCCGAGGTAGGTCCGACCCACCAAGGCTCCAGATGGACTTAACGAGGAGAAATGCGCAAGTCAAGTTGCAGAGACAACACCTGCAGCGGTGAAGTTGCCGAGAGGACATGTGCAGCAGCAGAGTTGCTGAGGCACTTTGTTTCAGTGCCGCCATTCTAAGTATCTTTGGTGCCGCCACCATTCCAAGTAATGTCGGTGTCACGATCATCTGGAGTTGCTAAGGAAATGAGAGACCGAGGCAACTAAGTTGCGGAGGCATTCTGTCAGTGCCACCATCTCTAATATCTTCGGTCATGCCATCTGAATTTGCCACGGGAAATGACTGTCACAACAACTACTATCGCAACAACTAAGTTGCAGAGGGAATATCCTACCAAGGTGATAGCAACCTTTGGAAGAGACTTCCCTCTGCAAATAGAGGCTGATGCTTGGCGCCGATAGCAGGTCCCAAGGCATTACTAGCCTAGAGCTGATAGCAGACCCAGAAATACCAATTTACCGTGGTAACCCCGCGAAGATGGGAGCAGGGTAGCCCAAACATGAGGGACTCCCTTCCCATTACCTAAGTCATGGACTTGCCTTAGTCGCACAGGTAGGACAAAAGAAGCCCCCTTGGGCTTGGTACTAAGGCATAGCATAGCTGATAGCAGGCTTGGCTGTAACTTTCATCCTGAGAAGCTGGAGAGTTTGTGGTTAGGTAGTTAAGGGTAGAGGCTTCGCTGAGGTGGACACGAATATAGTCGATAGCAGACTAATAGAGTCTTGAGAATGCATGTACTGGTCAAATAGAATTGAGAAGGCAGGTGCAGCGGCAAGGTTTACCGCTGCAAGTGCACTTGCTGAGGTTTAGGCTGAGAAGGCAAGTGCAGAAGCAAATACTCCCGCTACAACTGCACTTGCTGAGGCTCGAAAGGGAGTTGCAGCGCCAAACACTCTCGTCGTAACTACACTTACTGAGACTCAAAAGGATAGTTGCGGAGGCAAACAAATAGTACACAGTACATGCAGAGGGACACGTGGCACCTCTAGCCTAGTGGCTCAAGGCAAAATATTCTATGTGATCCCTTAGGACACGTGTCTTCTCTTCATTTGGCCACTTGGTGTCCTCTTGGCACCAAGGAAAAACCTATAAATATGACCCATTTCCTAAGGTTCAGAAGGAAGAATTTTGGAGATTTGAGGGAGATGCTGCCTAATTTGGTACTGCCATACACTTCTTCTTGAACCACTTGCTTCACCCTCACCCAACTACACACTCTCCAACTCCTAGATAGTTGCTGCTACTCATTCTTTAGCCACTATCGCCATTATTGGACCATTAGCATAGTTTTGCCTCTGTAATAACCTCTCTAACCTAGAACCCCCCCATAGTTAGTGATGAGATTGTTAAATTATTTTTATAAACAATCTAAAAATAATAATTTCTACGAACCAACCAACCGAACCAAGCTTTAAGTTCTATCAAATGGGTTCACCTGTATAAATCTTTCTGCTCCACTCGACTCTATCCAAGACCATTTCGTAAATAAATAAATTACACTGTTCCGGTCAACCGGTCGGATGTCCGGGCTGACATTCGGGCAAATGCCGAATAGACTGAAGCCGTTATCTATTTTCTTAAATTCCACTTGTTTCCCAGCCAAGCTAATCCCCCTACTAAGGGGATTATTAAGCCGCCCAATCAGTGATGCTGACCTTCCTAAACAACACCAAACATACTGTGAATGGGACCCATAGCAATACTACTCCAGTCCAGTCGCTGAAGCAGCTAAACAAATGGGGCCTAAAGATTGGTTTGAAAAGTGACTTTTTTAATAATTGTTTGCTAAAATATAAGATGAAAAAAAATTAAAGTATTTAAAAATAAATTTTAAATTTTTTTCAAAAAAATGTAAAAAAAAAATAGAAGCAACAATTAGGAACACAAATATAAAAAATGTCACAAAAAATTGTGCACTCAGAGTTACAGAGAAGTAAAGAAAGAAAGAATTTTAATTTTTTTAATAACTTTTTTGATTAAAATCCTAACTTGCCAAACATCCATTAAAAAAAAAGGGCAGTGGCTTCTCTTCCATCCCCGATCAGATTTGAGGGTGTTATTGGACCCGTAGAGACCCACCACAAGTCATGTTTCAATAATTCGAACCGTTTAATATGTAGAACTCGTTGAGTACTATATGCTTGTAAAAACTCACATTGATCAGATATCGATAACTATCTCATCGGATCAATTTTCTGTCAACCGTTTATTGTTTGACCGTCTATTTTTTTTATACAAAACTAATTTGATCATCTAGTTATCGATATCCGATTAACGTAATTTTTTATAAGCATATAGTACTCGACGAGTTCTACATATTAAACAGTACAGATTATCAAAACAGGATCCGCAATAGATCCTCACAAGCCCAATAGCACCCTCCAATCTAATCTGGAACCAGAGGGAAACTAGGCCCAAAAAAAAGACTTACTTCGATTGCACATAATAAAGAATTCGAACAACTGCTTCAAATTGGCACAATTGACAAACTTGTTAGGATTTTATATATTGTCTATTAATTTTATTAACTTTCCCCTTATTATAATAAGAAAAATTATTGTAATAATGTCAAAATTATAAAACTAACTCTATTGTAAAACTAACTATAAACATGACTCATCATAACTCATTCAACAAGGAATGTGATCCCTTACCCATCTTCCAAAACAAAATGCTAATTGCATTGACAAATAAAAAAATGCCGCTTACACTGGGCTGACAATCTAATTTGTACATAATCCCAATCTCAGAAGCAAATTTAGCCTGTATAAACAATTTTCGAACGAAGTAACATCACAACCAACACCATTTTTTGCATTAATTCTACATTTCTCGTGAAATACATAGAATCTACAAGAACATCAGCATTAGCCATCAAGCCCCCAATTCCCAGCGATCCACGTGTTGTTACACCTGAGCTGCTCCATTGCGCACATTGATCTTTGTGTCTAACGAAACTGCTATTCTGCGAAATGCAATTGAGACAGATGGTTTGGACCCCAAATTCAGTTACAGCCGACTCAATTAATTTAGTGGGGTAAAGAACAAGTTATGGGGTCTTTGGAGGCAAAGTCGATGGTCCTTAGAACTCTTGAGCATCCAAGTCGGGTTTTGATGGATATTCAAGACCCTGAAGTGCAGGCATCCTTCGTAAATCTTCTTCTGAATAAGCTGGGATGAACCAATATCGCATGTCCATCCCAAACACCTAATACATGAGAAAAAAAAAAAAAAAACACAACGGTACAATACAGTCAAGGGAAATCCAATCCATGAAATAATTACACGAAATTTTACTGAATTTAAAAAAAAATTGCATTCAGAAGTCATATATATGGAACTTGTGACACGTTTGGATGAATATGTAACTGCTCAAGATACCACCCTATAAATCACTACAGATACATGGTTTAAATAACGGAAAATCCAAAATTTTAAAATTGTATCGAGAATGACAGGAAAGGTGGAAACAAGACCAGCTATAATTTGATAGTTATGAACAAATTCAAACACACACATCCTACAGTGCCATGAGAATGCGTTGTGTCAAAAATGGATTTCTTAGGAGTAAACAAGAAAATTAGTTTTGACTTTTCATAGTTTTAACGAACAGAAAAAAACAATTAATAACCATTCTTCACTGCTATTCTTCCATTTCAACATCGATAAGATGAAATGCTCAGTAATAGTCACATGACATGAACAATGGATTAGGATAAAATGTCAAACATATAGTGATTCCGATAATTGTGAGCATTGCACAAATTGATAAGTTGGATCCAATTGGTCATTCGAGTGATGATAGTAAACCACATTACACGAAAAAATTGCAACATGAAAAACAATGCAAAACTGCCATTGCTAACAATCTACCACTTCCGATAATTCCAAGCATGTCAAAAATTTTGGACCTCCAACTTTACCGATGCAATTCAATTGTATAGCTTCAAACCAATGAAATCTTTGAAATGATAATATATGGCGTGTCGGATACGAGTACATGCCCACCTGTCAGATTCATCTAATTTTCATGTCCCACGGACAAGGGGGCACAAACAATATTTATGTCTGTTAATATTCTTCTTTTATTTTATACAGTAAAACTATGTTTAGAAGATGACATGGAGCATTTCATGCTATGGGAGTTCTATGCATAGTTATGTAGAAAACTCGAATTGCAAGACATGCTTTCTGGGTGAATGTGCAACTGCACATGCTGGCCACATATCTCATATGCTTACCCAAGTGTCAATTTGTTGGGAAAACAAAATTGGGGTCTCAAATACCAGCACTATTTCCTTAGGAAGAAGGATTGGACAGAAAAAGGCTGAATTTTGTTAAATTTGTCCTCAAATCCACATCCACTCAACACCACCCTCAGTTTTCTCATGTAAATTTAAAATTATAACTTCAAAACTTAGAATAGCAGATAAATTCACAAGTTATTCATAAATAAATATGGATATTATGAAGAAGAATTATTTCTTTAGATTTTTGTACATAGATATGCATACACAGAAATATATGTCTATATTCTGTTGTTGCCCTCTCCTCACTGTTTATAAATTATATCCTGTTCCATCAGAACTTGTTATGTTTGTGTTAGCATTATGTCGTATTCATGACCTGTCTCTATGCTTCATAGGTCCAAATAGAGTTTACGAATTAATAGGTCCAAATAAATTTAATATTTGATAAATTTGTGCATTTAATGAATAAAACAAAGTAGTATTGTGCCAAATGGGTTTCCTGAGGAGTGCCACTAAAATGAAGGTATCAAAATGGCAATCAATTGTATAAGCACCAACCTGTTCAAAGTTCCTCCTTCGACCAAGGTCATATCGCCATTTTGGAGTTGTCTTCTTTTCATATGCCTGGAGATGAGAAAATCAATTAACTAGAAAAATCAACATTGTTAACCCCTCTAGGTGGAAGTGCTTTATTGAGAGTTTCTCCTTTTTAGAAGAAAATAAAAGGCTTTAAATGACATCATTACAATTGAAAATATAAGCACTATTTTCTTTCTTATGATGAAAGTGATTAGTGCAGATAATCCTCTTTTTTCTTTTCTTCTTTCTTTCTGAGCTATAAATATGATCACTTTTCTACATGTGAAGCTAACATGTAGTGGTAAGGAGAAACAATACCTCAATAGTTGTGGTATTACCAGACACCAATGATATGTGCATAATCAGAAAACCCATAACGCTCAATGCAAAAGCTAGGTTTAACACTGGGATATATAGCAGGAATAGTCATTTAGAAGAAAGAAGTGGTAGCAAAAACCAACGAAAAGAAAATAGAAAAAGAGACTCATTGGACCTTACCAAAGGCAAGAAAAGTTGTTGCAAGCATGCCCGGTGTCCCAGGTAATTCTTCATCACTAAAGAACGCTATAAAATGCGGTAATAATGATAAAGCCACAACACTTGTTTCAAGAAACGTGTAGAACTGCATCAAAAAAAGAATTGAATCAGCATACTGAATATATCAATAGGATGTTGACAAGACATTAGTAGCCCCACCACCAAGAGACAAATTAAGTAAATGTCCTCATTAGCATAGTTGTGCATTCAAAAGCATACAAAGTGGATAGCAAGATGAACTTTTTAATGATATTTTGATGATCCACAAATACAACGACAGAAAATAATGCCACAAACTAGTACATTTAGTTAGAGACGGGGTAAATTGTCACACACCATAACATTCCGTTTCATAAACTAGTACATTTACCCTAGTATTCTCTCTCTAAAAACAATAAATGTCCCTAGTGTCCAAAAACTTTAAATTTTGTTCATAACCCGGGAAACCCAACAAGTTGTCTCCTTTAGATTGAGACCTAAAATATAAGCATCTTCAGTCCTCAACCATCTTGACCTCTGTTACATCTTTAACCCTCTAAGAAGTGTGGACACTTCAAAGAAGGTAATGTGTCCATATCTAGCAAGTGTTGAACACCAACAGACACTTCCCAACACTCATTGAACACTTCCAACACGTGTCGGACACACGTTCAAACATGTTCTATTATTTATTTTTTTTAGACTCAAACGCACTTTGAACATTAAAGGACATGCGTGTCCATCGCTTAAACACACATGAAACATATTACTAATTTGAACGAATAAATTAGGAACTAATAGTAAAGGAAAAATAATATAAATTTATACCAATTAATGTATTCTCCTTTAAACATTACACTTTTCATGTTATGTTGTACATGTTTAGTAACTTTGAATGAAATATTCATATATATGATATATAATAAATATATAAAATCAAATATTTTGCGTGTCCCCTACATGCCATGTTCTATTTTTATGACATGTCTGTGTCCACGTTTCTTAGGAAACCCTAACTCAATTTCCCATCCATGTCATGTCACATGTCTATGTTCATGATTTTATACAATCTACCAAATCAATCGCAAATATTTTTAAGAAACATTAATATACTAAAATTGGTAAGGTAGTCTATACCTCTCAGAATGTGAGACGATTTTATCCCTTTGACCTAACCTCTTGGTCTTGTGAGTGATTTTATCTTTTAGGCTAGGCTTTGTGTTCTTTCCTTGTGTGGCAATCAGCTTACTCAATGTGTTCTTGTGTGCCCGATTAGGTGGTGTATTGAGCCTCATTGTATTTCTTTTCTGTTTTAGGATTGAAACTCTTATTTACTAAAAAAAAGTGGCTAGGTTTATATTGACTTTCCTATATGAATGTGTTTAAGTTAAACCCATTTACAACCAACTCAACTTGCAAACCCAAATTATAAAACCAATTATGAAACAATAATTTTCAATATGTAACCAATTATGAAACAAAACACCATTTGTTGCTGAAGATGATTAAGGCATACATAACAAAGTACCTTAAACCACACCACATGATGTAAGGAATTGAGAAGGGCGCTACAAAATAACTAAACCCAGCACAAACACCTCAAGCTCAACTTTGTAATTGGCTCTTCCAAGCTCATTTATTCATGAAATGAATCATGCTCAAACCAATCTTTGACTCATTCAGTTAATGGGCTAATCCCAAACAAGCCCACACCCAATCTTTTAGACTCATTGATGAGCTAATTCCAAACAAGCCCAAACTTAACCATTGGGCTCATGAACATAGGAGACAGATTTTTCAAAATTTAGACTACTTTACAAGGGTTGTTTATTGTAATTGAAAACTATGATCTTGACAGCTTTGTCAACTAGTACTTGTGCAACAATAGAATTTATAAAATATGACTGTTCTTATGAAGCCCAAGTCATCGTTCCTAATGTTCTCCTAGACACATATTCAAAATTGGTCAAACATGTCTATAATTTTAAGTGATATTTCAAAATTTTACACACTAGGTTGACACTTCTCTAATGTTGGTCTAACTTCTTAAATGAGACATCCCAAAATTTTAGCCAGTGGCGGAGCCAGGATTTTAACTCAAAAGAGGCACCACTGAATTAAAATCTTAACAAAAAATTTAACTTAATTTTTATTTGATGGCAGAACTAAAAATTAGTGTGATGCAAAAGTTATATTTAAAGCCTCGTTTGGGAACAGACTAATTTAGTAACTTTTTGGCTATTTGGCTAAAATATGAGCTAAAAAAAACTAGTATGTATGTGATGACTTTTTGGCTTTTTATGAAAAGATGTGCAAAGAGTAGAGAGAAAAGAGAATCTTTGACTTTTTGGTATGAGTTGTTGGCTTTTTGGCTAATTTAGTAACTTTTTGACTTTTTGTCTAAAAAGTTCGGTGGCCAAACGAGGCCTAAATATAAGCTTAAGTTAACCAATTAAATTATATAAAGATGCACACACAAAAAGAGATATAGAGAGGGATAGAGAAAGAAATAAAAGAAAGGGTGAATAAATAATATATAGGGAATCACATGAGCAATATATTATTAGTTATTATTAATTATGTAATAATTATTTATAAACAAATGAACTAATTATGAGTATTCATACAAGCGGTGATAGAAAATCAGTGGCATATAACATTTCTCTAATATAAAACTTCTAAAAACTTTTTAACATAATGAAACATTTAAAGTGACAAATTAAACATATATATATATTAAAAAAAAAGTAAAAAAATAATGATGTAAAAATTTCACAACATTACTTGAAAGGTTTAAATTGAAATAATTTTTTTTTTACCAGAGGCAAAGCATAATTTTCCAAAAGTTGAGGTTGAGGGGGGCACATGACCCCCCCGGGCCTCATGTGCCTCCACCACTAATTTTAGCCAACACTTCATCGAAGCATTGCTTAACGCTTGAAATAGGATGTGAAATCCTATTTATCAAAATTATTATATGTGATAGCTTGCATGTGATTTATACAATATGACTCTAATTCCCTCTTCCTTATGCAATTGTTGAAGGCAGTAATTAGAAATTTATAGAGATTATTAGTTTGCCACATAATTATATCTATATATGTATACTTTCAAACATGACTATATAATATGTGTGTATAATGTATGAACAATAAACTGGTGTCCTTGCCATTTTTGTGCCTTGCTATTTTGGAATTTGCAGCATCAGCATCTCCGTGTCATATCTTTAGGAATTCACGTGCCCATATCCATGCAACGTGAATGGCCAAGTTCATAACATCACATGTCAGCTTTTCATCTTAAACATTTTACTTCTAAATTGCTTGACAAAGTGTTTAGTTGAGAATCCATTTTTATGAACTTTATAGTGCACAACCAGAACCAACTCACAAGCTTGGCATGTAGCCCCAAGCAGAGCTCAAACACATACTTTTTTAGCATGACTCCAGCCCAAGATGAACCTGAATGGGCTTCAATTTAACCAAAACAAGCTCTTGCAGCTAGATAATTGGTTCGATTTGTTCATTTGCATCCCTAATTGAGACCAACAGTGACTCAACATGAAACGATTTGTAGTAAAAATCAATAAATTTTATAGGAGTTAAAAATGAAAGAAATTTAAAAGAAACAAGCAAACACGTTCCACACATCTTCACGCTATCCACAAAAATTGAAACTAGTCAAGACATTTCTGCACTTTCCATGCAAGTAAAAACATGCCAGAATCTCTCGTAGCTAAATATATATATATATATATATTGCAGAGCTAATGCTTTCCAATTGAATGAGCAACCCAAAACATATCTGGGGCCAGTTAATGTGCTAATAAAATTAGCAATCTAGAACTGCACCAAATCATAGCATATCTATGCTACCTGATTACCTTGTTTGCCATCTGCATCCTAGAAGTGTAATAAAGGAATAATATATAAAGGCCCTTTGATCATCAAATAAATGTAATTCATCTGGAAGAATGCTCAGTTCAGAATTCCAAGAATTTGATAATAAGATTCCCCAAAGGTATAAATAACCATATTAAGATTAATAACACAACACATTTAATATTTGCAAACTGCAACCAGTACAGTATATTAATGAGAGAATTAATGCTTTGGCAGTACAACAACATACCAGGAAAAGAAGGAAATACTTATAGTTTAATGCCCCAACACAATTGACAACCCACACACAATGATGATCCATTTTCAGCACACACCGCCCACCTGAAACAATAAATAAATCTGAATTCAGTCTATGAACAATGGGAAAAGGAAAGTCAGTCTTGAGAAGACTCGAGTATATGAACTCACAAACAGAACAATGATGGCACCGAGGTGGTTTCGGTTGGTTGCACTTCCGACAATACCGGATCCTTTGGTTTGTTGGGTCTGCCGGCATATCACTGAATTCTGGCCCCGTCAAGGAATCAGTGTCACCTCTCTCCTCATCCACAAGAGGTCTCCAATTGGGTGGCACACCACCCGGATCCGTAAAGACAACATTGAAGTAGCTCCACAATAGCATCACTAACTGCACAATTATTACAGTTACATGTTTTTCAGCTACCGTTTGAGCATAGTATATCAGTTGCCACTTTTCATTTTCTTGAAATAAAAGCCGAAACAGCATAAGACAACCGGATCTCAATTAATTGGAAAAAAAAAATGCAGATAACAAGAAGAAAATAGTACATCCTAATGACATTTATCCAGCTAAAATATTACTACAATTGTCTGAATCTCAATTTATTAAGCAAAACAAAAAGAAAGATGGTGAAAATTGACAGCTAAGGCCCTTCAACCAGTCCAATTGCAAACAATAATTTTCTTGACGTATATGAACAATACTCAAAGCTTAGAAACCTATAACAAAATCCTGATAGCAAACACAAGTAGCTGTTCAAAAAAAAAAAAAAAAAAAACACGAGAAGAAAGAAAAATTATACTCCTTTTCCAAGTTCTTAACATTCTGATCAATTTTATACATAAATGAAATAATGCCTAAAAACAATTCACGAACAAAAGAGGTTATTTTTGTTTTACAGTATTCAAAGAGCTGAATTTGCATTTACAGCCAAACAAGACACCTCTGAAAATCCAATTATCAATCTTACTTAAATTAACTAGCCCTCACGCAAAATTCCCAAATTTAAAACCCAGAAAAACTATAACAAAACCCAAAATCCTCATCTTTGGCAAATTCTTACAATATTCTGATAATTTTTTTTTTTTTGGGATAAATATTCTGATAAATTTTATACATAACTGAAATAATGCCTAAAACCAATTCAACAACAAAAAATAGTTTATTTTTGTTTGACAGCATTCAAAGAGCTGAATTTCCATCTACAACCAACAAGACACTTCTGAAAATCCAATTTCATCAAATCACATACAATCTTACTTAAATTAACAAACCCAAAAGCAAAATCCACAAATTCAAAACCCAAAAAAACTACAACAAACCCCTAGAAACTCAAACCCAGAAAAAAAAAAGATGAAATGTTTTTGAGAAACTTACAAGAACATGAAACAAGATCAAGACAGCGAGTGCAATGAGAGAGTCGAGACCACCATCGTACAAAGCAGGGCCGTAGTTGGAAAAAACGACGGCGTAATAGGTGACACCGACAACGCCGAGGACCAACAAGATCATGATCGAGCCGAGGCCACGAAGGGCGGTGCAGAACTTGAACACATTCCAAGCCATCACAGCTCCAGATCTATACATGACAATTCAAAACACCCAAAATTGCAAGAACAAGCAAAAGGGTTTCTTGAGTTTTTGTTTTTATTTTTTTGGGTTTTTAAGTTATTGTTATGTATGAATCAAAAGCCATTGTTGTGGGTTTGTTGTGTTACGGATTCCAGAGATGGGTATGGAATCCATATACAGAAAGGAGGAGAAAAAGGGCAGAAGGCAAAGTCCAGAGATTGAAAACAAAAGTGAAGAACAAGGTTAGGGACTGTTTGGTGGAGTTTATAAAAGTTATTAGCAAATTAAAATAATATTATCCCCTTTATTTTGTAATATTTCTTTTCAAAACTCAATTTAAAACTTTTAATTCAAAATGTAATCCTACATAATTCTAAAATTATATTAAATGGAGCCTATAATTCTCTCTAGCCAACTAAAATATCAATTAAAATTCCTAAATTAAGTCTTATTTTGAAAAGTGATTTTTTTTTTTTTGGCTTATTAGTTTATTATGAAAAAAAAAATGCAAAAAAAGAAGAAGTAAAGAAGTAATATGATTTAAATAAACCAATAAATTAATAAATTGGTTGTTTTTTGACCTTCCCAAAAGAGGCCTAAAATAGCCGGTAGTGCTACGTAGCTCGAAAGGTGGAGCTCGAAATTGGCTCGAATCAGAAGTAGAGAAGGAGAAGAAAAGGAAGGAGGAGGAGGAAGAGGAGGGACTGGAGGGGGCATAATATTCAGGGGGGCGAGGGGCGGAGGCGAGGCAGAGCCGACGAGCAGCGACGAGCAGCAACGAGCAGCGACGATCCTCGGCGGCGACGGTGGTGCTGGCTCTTCTCCTCTTTCTCTTCTCATCTCTTCATCCTCTCTTCTCTCCCTCTTTCTCCTCTCTTCTTCCTCTCTTCTCTCCCTCTTTCGAGCTAATTCGAGCCAACCAATTCGAGCTATGGCAAAGAGGCCTAAAATAGCCAACTAATATAACTATCATTAATTGTGTCAAATTATTTGGTGTAATATTTAAAAAAAATATTTTAAACAATTTAATATTTAAGTCTAGTAACAAAATAAATATTAAAATTTTAATTTTGTCAATTAAAATACTAATTTTTTTATTTATTTTTAATTTAAATCACTTGCTTATTTTTGACAAATAAAATTATTTGTAACAAAGTATATTTAAAATAATTGTTTTAATTGAATTTAATAATTAAAATATAATAACTTTTTTAATAGTTTTACTTAACGAAAACAAATAAATGATTTAGATTTAAAATAAAACAAAATATTAAGATTTAAATTAATAAAATTAAAACTTTGGAGTTTATTTTATTACAATACTTATTTTTTAAAAAAAATATTTAATAAAATTTTCAATTTTTTATAATAGTTTAGTACAAATAACCTAAATAAATTAAAAATTTTAATTATTTTAAAAACATATATGCTTTGAGTTTTAATATTTTATTATTGATTTGCAACAACGCACGAGTCAAAACATTTCTTTCCTTTCATATAACTTTTTTAAAAATTTATTTAATTATTTTTGTCTAATATATTATAAGAAAAAATTATTGGCACAAATTATCAAAATAAATGTAAAAAAAATATAATTCGGATAAATTGTACCCAATATGTCTTAAAAATTTAAAATTAAATACTGTTCGGATTAGAATGAAAAATTATTTTTAGATTAAAGAACGGACTTTGTCCAACTACTCCAAATACTTTAGGTCAACGAAGATTGTCATGTATGAACATCTAGAAGGTGAAGAAATTGTTTATACAAATACTATAGAGAAAATTTTAAAAAAATATGGAAAATAATATTATGTCGGTGGGGAAATGTTTCAAAATTATTAAAGAGATGAATGAAAAAAAAATTTTAAAATAAGGATTAGAAAGAATTGAAAAGGTAAAGATAAAAATAAAATAATTTAATAGTGAAAATTTTATTTTTATTTTAAACTAATTTAATAGTGAAATTTTTATTTCTTTTGAATATTTACATTTTAGATTTTTCTAAACTAGAGGAGTTTAAAAAGTAAATTTTTTTGACACAAACTTAAAATAAAATATAAAAAAAATCAAAAGGCAAAAAGTTTTAAAAAAACGATTTTTTAGTTTTTGCCAAATAAAAAGTAAAAAAGACACATTTTATATTAAGGCTAAACTACCAATAAGTCCTAATAGTTAGACTTAATTCCCATCAAGTCATATTGAAAATAAGTCTTGATAAAATTGTCGTTAAAAATAATTTTTGTGACAATTTTTTACATACGCCGCTAAAAATTGACAATTAATGACTTTTTTATCATGATTTTTATAAATCGTCGCTAAAACTTACAATTAGTGACTTTTTTATGACAAATTTTTTCTATAGTATCTATTAGACAATAAATTTAGTTATTAGGACTTACATGTACTTACATATAGGTCCTAATAAGTAAACTTATTGTCTAATAGGTTCTACGAAAAAAGTTTGTCATAAAAAAAGGTTACTAATTGTAAGTTTTAGCGACAATTTATAAAAATTATGACAAAAAAAGTCACTAATTATTAATTTTTAGCGACATATATAAAAAATTGTCACAAAAAAATTTATTTTTAGTGACAATTTTATCAAGAGTTATTTTCAATAGGACTTTTAATAGGTCATAATAGTTGGACTTAATTCCTATAAAGTCCTATTGAAAATAAGTCTTGATAAAATTGTCACTAAAAATAATTTTTTTGTGACAATTTTTTATATACGTCGCTAAAAATTGGCAATTAGTGACTTTTTTTGTCATGATTTTTATAAATTATCGCTAAAACTTACAATTAGTGACTTTTTTTTATGTCAAATTTTTTTTATAAGGCCTATTAGACAATAAATTTACTTATTAGGATCTACATGTAAGTACCCCTTTTATTTTTTGGCAAACAAAAAGTATTTCATTAGATTTTGATGTTTGATTCACTCCATGGAAGAACCTGTTTGCATTATGCTGCTTTCTATGGCCATCTAGATCGCCTACAAGCTATTCTTTCTGTTGCCCTTTCCACCTCTTTTTTTTATCATTGGTGACTCTCTCTCTCTCTCTCTCTCTCTCTCTCTCTCTCTATGCTTGTGTCAATTTTGAACTGAGCTCAAGTTGTGTCATCTAAGTTGCAAAAACCAAAATTTAAAAAAATAAAAAATAAATAAATTACAATTTCAAAATATTTTTCATAAATTTGAAATCTTTTTTTAATCTTTTCACTTTAAAAAAAATATTTTTTTAACCCAATTTGGATATGAAACACTGGTTAACAATTGTCAACTTTTTTATTTAAAATTTCATTAATATTATATTATAAATACTACTATCGATTTAAGTAATAATAAATAAATAAATAAAAGGGTTGAAATGAGTTTTGACCACTCATCTTTCTTTGAAAATGCTATTTTCACATATCTAATTAATTCAATGTATACATTTAATGAAATATTATTTTACTAACAATTATATCTTAAATTAAAATTATCATAATAGACATCCACTAGTACCTTAATATTATATGAAAATATTCTTTATACACATATTTAAAAAAAAAAATCTCAATATATATCTTTTGAGTGAAAAAAGACTAAACATTAATTTTTTTTATTGTTATCACCATACTTGCTACATACTTTAGACTCCTCTATTGCTTGTAAATCAATGTTCTCATAACAACTCTCACATTGTTTATACTTTATTAGTGATGAAAATATTAATTTTTTCGTACACAACCTTTTTTTTTTTTTTCCTTTCGCGGTTTTCAATCGGATAACTAGTATTGAATTATTTTATTATATTCAGACATCAACTGTCGAAAGTTTTTTTTTTATTTTTTTCGGAACAAATTTGTTGAACTAATCACTTTTATTCAGAAGTTAAGTTTCGAATTAAATGTGCAATTTTGGAAAACTAGTACCAAAATCTCCAAACCAAAAAAAAAAAAAAAAAGTAGAGAGAAAAGGAGGATTAAGTAGTATGTGTACAATAATTGTGAGTAAAAAGTATAATTATAACTTGTAGTGTATAGATTCAGAGAATTAATTAATAATCAAATTAATAAATGTATACTGAAAAAAGACATGTACTAAGATAATTAAATGTGTAGAAATAAAATTTCTCATTTTACTTCTCACTATCTCTTATTGGCCGATAGAGCTGTGGGAAAGTGATTATAACTTATAACCTAACAGCTTATAACTTATAACCGTGAATATAAGTTGATTTTTTACTTATAAATTAAGTTTCTCCTACCCCACTTAAAGAATAAATTAATTTTTGACTTACAAAAAGTTATAAGCTGTATTATTAAGCTGAACTAGACATGTCAAAATAACTTAAATTAAGCTAAAAATTAAAATAAGTTAGAAATAAATCTTACCAAACAGACCATTATTTTTTACCTCTTTAACTATTTAAACAAGTAATTTTTTTTTAATATATTTTTATCATTTTTTTTCCCCACCAAACTCTTCCATTCAGACGAATGTTAATCAATCCGCGTAGGTGGTGCGTGTGATTGTAACACACATTTGAGAACGATGGCAACTTGGCAAGGACGTAATCAATGACATAACTACCGCACCAAAAAAACAAATAATTAATTAAAGGGTCATGCTACATCCCCTAAAAAACATCCCCCTAATCCCCCTAATTTCCATATTAAGTAAAAAAAAAAAAAAAAAAAAAGGAAACAGTTGCCAGAAATGGAAATTAGGGGGATTAGGAGTGAGGATTTTAGGGTTACAAATCATTTCCCTTAATTAAATTACATTAATCTTCTTCAAAATTTTAATATATATATATATATATTGTTAGCTTTTTGACTTTCAAAGGTTACTTTTATAATTATGAGCGTATCAGTAAGGATTAATCAGTCCTTACAGAAAATTAATTGTCAACCAATTATCAGACGATTGTGTTTTAGTTCTTTCAGCCTCAATGAAGAGAACTTTTACTGGTGGCTTGATTTAGGAGAATTAAGCAAATAACAATTAAATGAAGAACAATTGAAGCATTTCATTAAAATGAAAAACTTACAATGATCCAAACTCAGCCTCGTAGAGGTTTACAGCAACAATCTACTTGAAACTACTCCTATGAACGAAGTGTAGTGTAGTGCAATGCAGAAATTTTAAAGTACAGAAATGTAAAGAACAGGAAATATAAAACTGGAAAGGAAATAAAGTAGAATAAGACTATTTTTTTGGATCCGAGTCTGGGCTTTTTTCTGGGG